GTCCTACTTGGGTCGCCGTCCGGAGTTGTCCAATATGGCGGACCATCTCGCACATGCGCACTGCAGATCGGGCAGAGCTGCAAATCGGGTAGTGACACCCTCCACGGGCTGCGGAAGCGAAATGCTTGATGGGAAACGACTCGCTGGTATCTCGAGCTGAGCGCCCATTGGTGTTTTTTACCCCGTGCTGGTGATGAAAGTCTCCAATAGAGAACCGCAGTGACGCGTCCTAAATCCCGGAAGTAAGTCCGGTTCCTTCGATAAAAAGCAATGCAATTTCTCCATAGGATTTTGGAAAATAGCTCCAAATAAGATCTGTGTTTGACACAAATTGAAGAGACAGATCACGTTTTGTTCTACGACATTAAATACATCAGCAGTGACCCCGCTGGTAATTTTTGAAGAGTTTACGTGTCTGAAAAACGATGGTTGTTAACAAGTGGCTGAATAGGACTACAGAAGTTGTCCATGCCGTTTTACGTCATTACACCGAACACGTAAAAACACTCCCACTAAGTTTGTTTGCCCTGTTCTGCTTGAAAGCAAGTACCTGCCTCCTGCAAACTGTTCAAACAAACACTTCAACTTGTACCATTTACAATCTGTATGTTTGAATATGGATCTTAAGTCGGCGTGACGTTGAAGCAGCCACCCTGCTGTAGTTCCTTTTATAGCATAACGTTAGCATTTTTGCTTCTTGCGACTAGATTTATGCTTCGAAAATTATAAAAGTAGGATAGACATGTGGATATTATCCGGCTGAACAAAACGTGATCCGTCTCTTAAATGTGTGTCAACCACAGACCTTATTTCGAGCTATTTTCCAAAATCCTATGGAGAAATTGCATTGCGTTTTTGACGAAGGAACCGGAAAGAGTTTACATCCGGGTTTTAGGACGCGTTTTCAATCCGCCGAAGAAGAAGAAGTCCGCTCGCGACCATGCTCTCAGGCAGGATCCAGTTGCTGTAAAGCTTCCATCAGTCGGAGTCTCTATCAGCTCTCATTAATATATAACTGTCATATATTAGAATATAACCAGTTTCTCTCGGGAGAAGAAGAGACGAGAGGAGCTTTAGAACAATTCCACCTCTTCATCCGGGTCCTTATCTGCTGTTAGCTGCTTCATGCTAGGTGGCTAATGTTAGTCGGTGAATATCAACAAACTGAAGAACAAAAAGGAGCAGAAACACCGGGTAATACTGAGTACGTTTACTATCATAACTGTGTACTTTTACTACTGATAACACTGAGTACTTTAAAACTGATAATACTTAGTACTTTTTTAATTTGGAGCTGTTCATCGATCATTCCTCACAGCAGGCTAACCAAGATGGCAGCGCAGACAGCAGCAGCTAGCTCTCCCGAGTCTTTAGTGTTTTTAACGTGTGTTCGTCTAGTTCACTTCAAACATCCCGAACCGATAGTACAGTCAGGAGTATACAGTACAGTCGTGAGTTCCCGCTTGACAAGGAAATAACAACAAAATAAACAATAGACTAGGGCTGTGCGATTATGGCAAAAATCATAATCACGATTATTTGGGTCAATAATTGATATCACGATTATTTTGACGATTATTCATTGACCATTTATTGAACTTTAAAACAAATAATATTTTACCAATAAACATGATCAACAAATATGTTGGAGCGCACTGCCAAAATCATAGGGATGCACGATATTGTTTTTTTGAAACCGATACCGATAACTTCCTGCTTCTCAAGACCGATACCGATAACTAGGGTTGGGAACCGAAACTCGGTTCCAGATGAGAACCGATAAGAAAATGCCGGGTACCGGGTACCCGTACAAAATACACCTTTTCGGTTCTGCTTAACGGTTCCTAAACGCGGTAGACCCTGTATTCCAGCGGGTCCGTCTGTACCACTGCGACCTGGTGGAATCACAGAACGGCCGGTCGTCAGCGGGCCGTTGACGGCCGGCTCGGTACGCTGATGGCCGGCACCGCCCTTAATTTTTTTAAACGGCATCATGTAAGTTGCGCTGACAGGCGACAGAGGTCCACAGTTGCCCCGCAGCGAGGCTCCCCCCGCCCTCCCGTAGACAGTTCACGAGCTCAGTCACTTCATAACACCAAAGATGGGTCGCGGTAAACACTCTGAAGTGAGGCTCCACTACACTAAAAAATAAAAAAACAATTGGGCACAGTGTTAATAGCTTGCCACAGGCATAGCTCAGTTAAAATAAAGCACAGCTATTGTGCAATACATTTGTATTGCATGTATATTTTTTATTTGTAACAATTTCAGTTAAAGCTGAAAAGAATAAAGATATTTTTGTTATCTAAACGTTTGACCTCTTTCTTTTACAATTTTGGAATCGAAACGGGGAATCGATAAGAACCGGAATTGATAAGCAGAACCAGAATCGGAATCGATAAATTTCAAACGATACCCATCCCTACCGATAACCGATAATAATATTATATATATATATATATATATATAGATAATAATATTATATATATATATATATATATATTAAATGTACCTGTAGTTTTTGTACACCTGGCATTACTACTATGAACAAAACAAAGCCAAGAACAGTTTTGACTCTCGTCAAGCGCCATCATTTCTATGATGAAGTTAGAGATAGTTTTAGCCCTGGGGTCGTCTCTGGCAAACTTCTTGCCTTTTTCAAAAGCCTCGTGGATAGGTAAAAGCCCCGGTGCCTTTGCAGCTGGCTTTGGATTCGCCGCTAGTTTAGCAGCGCAGGCGTCTTCGTACGTTTTTAACACACCATCGTAGCGATGGCGATGTTTCAGGTGACTAATCAGGTTGGAAGTATTATAGCTCGTTGCCTTTTTCCCTCCTCGTGGAACTTCTGCATTGCATTTGTTAATACAAATAGCAAGCGAACTATCTAACTCTGAAACTTTGAAATAGTCCCATACTACCGACGACATGTTTGTTTACTGTCCTGGCTTCACGGCCGCACACCATTTACACAGCCAGGCATGAGTTAGGGAGCGCTGGATTTGTGAAAACTCCCCTCTTCCTAAACCACTAATACCACAGTACTGGCAAAACCGGAGGAGCCGAGTGAAAAACAAGCGCCCCTCATCCCAATCCACCCACACCGCAGTATTTCTTTCTTTTTTTTTACCCAAAAAATATATTGTATATTATCGGGGCTATTAATACTGGTATCGGGTTTATCTGGATGACGTCATAATTCCTAATATCGGACCGATAATTATCGTGCATCCCTAGTTGATATATAATGTGCTGTCTTCTGTATATTTGTCCATGTGAAAACCTGTTGAAGTTATGAGTGGTTTATCAGTAAAAACAGGGTTGAAGGAAAAAGGTTGTTAGCAATATCATAATATCAATTCAAGAAACATGTTTATTAGGAATGTTTTATTTTTAAATGGCTCATTTGGAATATTTGCTTTTTAAAGAAAATATGGTTTATCGGGATGACGTCATAATTCCTAATATCGGGCCGATAATTATCGTGCACCACTATACTAAACATATATTAATATGATAAATAAAAATAAATTAGACTAAAATAAATGAAATCAAATATGTTGCAGTGCACTGTCACAACCTACTGAAAACTCCTTAACATATAGCCAACATTTTTGTTAAAACATATTCAACATATTCCACTCAGTTAAACGTTGAAGGCTGGCCAACCGTCATGGTCCAGAAGTAACAGGAAATACATTTTGAACAACAATTTAAGACCAAATAAAAATGTTTTGGCCACCATGGCAAATGCTGGTAGGGCTGCTCATGTAATCTCTTAAAGATTTTTTGCAAGATACACCAGCCTGTTTACATGGCCTGGTTTCAGAGATGAGCGCAGGCAGGTGACAATATTGCCACCTGTACTGAAGACCCTCTCTGAAGAGGAACTTGTGGCAGTGCTGCCACATACTGTATGACACAGGAAAAAAAGAAAAGACTCTAGACTAATCAATTTAAACAGGTCTTAATGTTTGCATTCTTATACCATTTTGTACAATAATTATAATGAATAAATTCAAACAAACTAAAACTTACAGCTGATTAATAAAGGTATCTAACTTGAGTTTTTATTATATCAAAAACCTGTTGAAAATGCTACTGTTATTTTTACTGTCCCCCAAAAGCGCGTCGGCAGCCTCCAGGAATGCTTCTTTCACAACTTCGCCGTCTTTGAAAGACTTCATGTGTTTCGCAAGAACGTGACTGACGCGATAAGATGCTATGGTAGCAGCCTTGCTCTTGTTGTTGGGCCTGGTGAAAATGGACTGCTGTGCATTTAGCTGTCCTTTCAGGTCCCTCCCCTTTTGGGAGCGTAGGGCAGAATTAGGAGGGAATTCCGTCTCTTAGCGTTTGTGCACTGTTTTGAAATGCCGCTCCTAAATTACCCTTCTTCGATAAAGGCACGCTCGCATTGCAGATGAGACAGATGGACTTTGAATTGGAATAGATACAAAAATAATCATCCTCCCACTCGGAGTGAAAATTATATATTTTGGGCTTTTTTGCTTCTGCCATAATTGCGGTCTTGTGTGTGAGCGGACTGTCACTCCTGTTGACACGGACAACGTCAGCGAAATAGTGCACCAGCCACGCCCCGACACATGGGGTGACGCCGGCCAATCGCAAAGCTTTGATGCGTTCAAGTGCATTATTCTGGCACAGGAAGATTATGTTACAGGACATTAACGATAACACAGAATATTGCTGTTCTATTTTTAGACACATCTCGCGATCGACTGGGAATCTCCCCGCGATCGACTGGTTGGGCACCCCTGGGCTAGACCATAGGTCCATTGTGGTGGCAAAGTAGTCAGCTGAAGCCACATCTCTCTCAACTTCCCCACGGCATTTGTCATATAGCGCAGGCAGCGCAGACCTGCTGAAATAATACCGAGACGGCATCGCGTAACGCTTGTCCAACGTGTTGACAAGTTGCTTAAAGCCCTGGTTGCTAACAGTGCTAACTGGGCACATATCTTTAGCAATGTGAAATGTAATGGCACCTGTAATATCTCTGTCTCTGCGAGCTCGTCGCGTAGGCCGTTGCTCTGTACAATGCGTCCTGAATCGATGACTGTGATGATGTGGTGGATGAAGTCGAGCGGGCATCTGCTTTTTGATCGAGGCGAAAGCGCACCCAGCTAAATAATCGTATTTAGTCAATTATGCTGTTTTCATAATCGTAATTATCGTAATCGCGATTAAAATCGCGATTAAAATACGATTAATTGCCTGCTACCTACGTGCTGAATAAGAGACGCCGCTAGCGGTGTGAGAGGAAGCACAAGAGGGGTAAGCGCGGAGGCATCTGAGCTAGACTAGCAGCTATCCCACACAGGCCCGCTATTCCGAGCATCATGGCTAATGTTCGCTCATTGGACAATAACATGGAGTCATGGACATCATAAGACTACTCCGGTCGACCCAGAGTGGGATGACAGAGTGCTGTGTACGTTTTCATGGAATCATGGCTAAATGACTGACGACCCCTCCACACTACGTGGGGTGCCGTCTATTTGTGTGTGCTTTGTGGGTGTTCACAGGTTCCGGTGGTGATGCGCCGCACCTGTCGGGGAGGAGACCTGCCTGATGAGCTACACCTGGGGAAAAGGTTATAGGAGGAGCCCAGCCGGATACATCTCTCTCACTCCTCTGGGCACTTTCTCTGCGACAGTTTCGGGGACCTGATGCTGCTGTCTATTTAGTTTGTTGTGTTTTAACAATAAACTATATTATTCTTATTTCTCGTCTCGCCTCCCTGCTTTATGTTACAGCCCACAAGCCGGGTTGCCAGACTCTGCCATTCAGCTAGACCGGCTAACATGCTGCCGCTCAGACAGAGCTACGGTTAGCGGGGGGAAGAGCCGCAGCGGCGGTGTGATTGTTTACATCAGTGATGCTTGGTGTAGGGACGCTGTGGTTTTCTACAAACACTGTTTTTAACTGAGTTTATGTTCGTGAAGTGCAGGCCTTTCCATCTTACCCTAACCCTAACCTGCTAGCAGGATGGAGTTAATTTCTTCCCACCTCTGCTGTTAAGCTACTTCTTAGCTGTAGATTGGTTTTGTGTTGACTGTAGTGTTAATACTTATTTCAGAGACCCAGAAGGAGCACTGAGAGCAGCATGGAGGAGAACAAAGAGACCCCCAGAACTCAGGTTAGTGTTCACTTCATCACAATATATTCCTAACACTGTTATCCCTTACACTGGGGTACATTTGTGTTATTTAAGGACTTTAAACCTGTACTTTTGTTTAAGGATAAACAACCTTGAACATTGTGGGTTTTATTTTACCGACTCTTATATTTAGATATGGGTTCAGGTGTATATCCGTATGTAGTGTCTCTACTTTAAAGAGTCCTCTCCTGCTGATGTTCATGTGTATTCAATTCAAAACCTTTATTTATCCAGGTAAAATCCCATTGAGATCAATGATCTCTTTTTCAAGGGAGACCTGCAGCGTCCCTACACTATATCAGTATGTGGTGTCTCTACTTTAAAGAGTCCTCTCCTGCTTTGGTTCAGGTGTATATCAGTATGTGGTGTCTCTACTTTAAAGAGTCCTCTCCTGCTGATGTTCAGGTGTATACAGGGATGCAAACTTGTCACCTTTTGGCGAAATTCGCTGTTTTGAATCCAAAATAGGTAGTTTATGTGATTCATGTAGATCCGCAATACACGTTTTTTTTTTGTTCGTTTAGGGTAAAAGGGAAGCAACACAAGACCAGGTGTTCTTGGTAAGAATTTGGTTCTAATAATAAACTCACATAAAAATTATATAAACAAAGGTATAGGCTCTTTAAACAAGGAATTATTTATTTATAATATAAGCAAACAGAAAAGTAGGCCACAGATCAGCACAGTCACAGAACAATAAGGGCACTAAGGTGAAAATAGCAGATGTGGGGACTCGAGTCACATGACTTGACTAGAGTTGCATATTTTTTGACTTGAGACTTGCTTGACTAACATTGATGAAAGACTTGACTTGACTTTGACTTGACTTGGTATTCATGACTTGAGACTTGACTTAAGCTTGAGACAGATGACTTGAAAGGACTTGACTGTTTAAAATTAAATGTTTGTTTTTGTAATGAGATATTACGTTTAGTTTTTTCGAAAAACGTGATTATAGCGCCATGCGCGCAAACCTGGCAACCCACTAGAAGGCAGGAGTCTCAGTTAACATGGCAGCGGCTAGCTTTACTCCAAAAATAGTGAAGTTTGGATTCAAGGATTATTTTGTCGATGACGGTAATAAGAAGAGAACAGCGGTATGCCGGGTCTGCAGCATAAAGATCAGTGACACGACCACCATAACATCCAACTTCATTCGTCACTACAAAAAAAACCACAGAGAAAGGTGCATGCATGTGTTGTGCTAGAAAGCTAACGTTAAGTTTTAAGCTACATTAGACTTGGTTTCAAATCGATTAAGCATTGCAAAGCGTAGACAAAACGGTAAATTAACACTAGAACCGTCAAGGGATTCATTTAGACTAACCCTGATATGACGGGCTGTCAGGAGAGGGAGCGAGAGAGAGGAAAAGAGATGCCTTGTTTATTTCCCCTGTGTTATTATCAGAAGTTACTGTAAACTTTTTAATAATGTAGTTCATCTACTTTTAGTAGTTTGTTTAAATGTTTTAATTATGTTGTTTGTTTGTAGAAGTGCATCATTCCTTGATTTATTGTAAAATGAATCTGAACTTTTTGATCTGTTATGATGGTAAACTGAAGCAATTTCTAAATTAACCAAATTAACTGAGTTTTAAATTGTCCTACTTAGTTTATAAGGAAATTATGAAGAGGAACAAATTAAATGATTTGATATCTATGTAGTTGCTGACGCTGTTGGCGGTTCTAGTGTTAACAGAAATTTAAATTAAATATGTGTAATGGCAAATGCCATATATGATTTTCTTACCTGGAATTCTGCCTATTTTGAACAGACTTTTTGATTGAGTCCTAGTTATATTGTCTGCAGTTATAGGATTAATATGAATCTAATATGATTGTCATCAGTCTAAATTAGATAGATCTAAATGATTAACTGTGTATGTAATGAAGATCATAGTGTGGGTTGAATCCATTTTCATAACCACTGTCTTTTAACTGATTTAAATGCGGAAACTGGGCTTATTCATCAGAATTTCGTATGACTTGACTTGCTTGACCTGAGCAATGACTTGCTTGACTCTCACCACAGTGACTTGGGACTTGCTTGATACTTGTAGGTCAAGACTTGAGACTTGCACATGTAGGACTTACTCCCACCTCTGGAAAATAGTGAGGCGTCTAGAACAAATCCAACTCCGCCACAAGTCTCAGAACATAGACGTAAACATTTGGAGGCGAGAGTAGCGTGGCGTCCTGGCATAAATTCAGCACCCCGAATGACAGCAGCTTAAGTAGCGGCATCCAGACCTCTTCCGGTGGGAGGAGCTGAATAACGTCACGCCGATGCGGTAACAATAGTACCTGAAGGCAGTGGTTTGATTGGCTAGAGCTTGTACTGGCATATGATTCGATTGGCTGACGCTTCTGCCGAGGCTTCAAAAGTTAAACATTGCTCAACTTTTGCAGCGAGCCACACCAGCAAAGCTCCGCGTCGCTTCCCACAATGCAGTTCGGCAAAAAGTGACGTCACCCCATTCAAAGTGAATGGTGAAGCTTTCAACGCACGCCGCTGTGTGGACGGGCCGCAACGGTTCAAAAGAGATGTCATGACCAATGGGTTCCAGAGAAATGGCAAATACACCCAAATGACCCCAGAGGTGGGTTTTTTTGTGCTAAATCTCTCTAAAAATGTAAAATGTCACTTGTTTTCTATCAATCCCATCATTCAACGGTGGTTTTCCCTATAAGTAATGTAGTTTTTTTTTGACGGACACAATAATTTACATTTTTTTACTATGTTCAATCTGAATTTACTTTAAAATAAAAAAAAACGATATTGATTCTGACTGTTCTACATCCAACTCACAGGTTTATCATTGCTTTGAGAAAAAAGATTATTAATTTTCCCCTTTTTAGAAGTTTAGTTATGGTCAATTGTTCTGGGAATGTCATTTTCGAGTCTGAGACCTGGAAAACAGGCTCGGGGCTTAACATGTTAAAGATATCAGCTTAATATTTCTCCAGTGAATTACTTACATTAAGACAATTGTTTTTTGTATTACAAGTTTTCTGAAATAGCATGTTTAAATATGCGCATATTATCATACATTTCAGGAACACAATTCTGAATATTAGATAAAGTCAGGTTCAAAATTCTTGTTTAATTTTGTAGTCATATTAGAATCTAAAGTTTTTACTGAAGGCATTTTGGATATCACTTTTTATCACTCCATAAATCAGAAAATACTGTCAACAGCCCTAAAATATTAATGTTTGCCATGTTTTAGGTATATCATATCATATAATTCAGTCTATATATGAACAAACCCTTCTGTAAAAACCTTCAGAATATTGATAGGAATATAACTGGAAGGTTTGGTGTATGTAAGTGCTACTGAAGTGGACATTTCTCACTCAGAATATGAGAAAAAAACTAATTTTGAGAAAACGACCTTTAAAGGAAAGCTCCAGTCAATAGATAGTTAATCAAAACTTCAGTATTTAGTGAAACATTATGTTTAAACCATACCCTGAAGAAATCAGCGATATTCCTCGGTAAATAATGATTTTATAGCTCTTTTTTTATCAAAACCTGTATATTCCGTCAGGCAGCTGCCATTTTGGCCATTTTCAGTAGTCACATGATCTGAAAAACTAGGTTGTGACGTCATCTATGCGTTCACTTTGTAAACACACGACGAAAACATGGCGGAGTATTTGAGTTCGGACTCGTCAGCCGAGGAAGAAGTTTAGAAAAATAAAGTTCAGGCGGACTTACTTTGAATTATCACTATAGGTCAGTGACCACCAACTGGCGGCCCGCCATACATTCTCATCCGGCCCGCACGACGGGGGTGACTGTGGCGTTGGCGGAGTGGTTACTGCGTTCGCCCCCCACCCATTTTTTTTTTTACAACGTCTCGTGAGTAAGGTGCAGTACCGGAGTCCAACAGAGAGGCTGGAGCTGCGGGACAGTAGCCTAGAAGCAGGGTTGGGTTGTAACGGAATACATGTAACGGCGTTACGTAATCAGAATACAAAAATCAAGTAGGCTAACTGTATTCAGCTGGCGTTACATTTGAAAAACGAGTAATCTGATTAGTTACTTTCGTAAACCTGAAGTGAATACATTTTGGAATACTTATTGGAATTATTGGTGGAAAAGTTTCCTCACAAAATGTAATCTTCATTACCGGCAGAACTGTGTGCACACTGCACAGCGCTGCAGCATGGCTGTGAGCGAGAGAGAGGAGTTTTTATGTATAAATGATATCCTGTCTAAACATCAGTCAGGATTCAGAAAGAAACACAGCACCATCACTGTGACAATGAAAGTGGTAAATGACATTACTAGTATTTTAGATAATAAGCAGAGTTGTGCAGCTCTGTTTATTGACCTTTCCAAAGCGTTTGACACCGTTGATCATCACATTTTAAAGCAGAGGCTAGCCAGTATAGGCATATCCAGCCATGCAGTGGGGTGGTTTGTGAACTACCTCTCTGAAAGGTCCCAATGTGTTCATTTTGATGGACTGTCTTCTGAGTGGTTAAACATTTCTAATGGTGTTCCCCAAGGTTCTGTTTTAGGACCACTTTCATTCTCCATATATATTAACAGCGTAGGTGATAATGTGGTGATGTTTTTTTATGTGGGGTGCAGATGAGAGGGAGCTGTCCAGAATGACACCAAGATGTTGTGTTTGAGTTCTTGATAAGCCATGAAAACAGTAAAATAAGTGTATCCTGTGCACCAAAACATACCCATCTGTTATGGAAAAAGAAAGTATTCCAAAAGTAATCTGAATACTATTTATAAAATGCTGGGCTATATAAAAATCGCTGGCCCGCGATAGTGTCTATTGGTTACATTTCGGCCCTTGGACAAATGTAGTTGGTGATCCCTGCTATAGGTATTCATTCCATCCAAATACAACTGTAAAAAAAATTAAAAAACATACTCTGTTATCCTCTTAGGCCCCACGGACCCGGTTCCGGGGCCGAAATCGCTTCATTTGCAGGAAACAACGTCTAAGGAACCTTAATATTTAATAAACTATGAATATTTTATATCCATATAACGGGGAAAAAACTAATTTAACTGATCTTTTTCATTTTTTTCTTAAAAAAAACCCACACAATGCTAACAGTGAGCCTCTGAATTAGCCCCGAGCGAAAAATGCTAACCTATTACTGCACCGAAAATCACTCCTAGCTCCCTTATTACTTATCCTAGCTGCACATCCAACACATCGTTTATGATCGTAAAGACACAGAATCTAACGGTGCTCACCTCAACACTGAAAGATACAAACTCGCAACGTTATCAACAAAAACGTACATCAAAACAAGTGGCGCTAGGTACTAACATGCGCTAGGCTAACATGGCTTACCTTGGTCTTTGTCTGGTCTAAACTGGTCTTCATTGGCATTACAACGATAAAAACGATGATGTAGTTAATCCATAGGTTAATATCCAATGTGACTGTGTCCCCTTTGAAATGTTCTGATAATCTATAATCAATAAAACTGCAATTCCGTTATCTGCTGTCCGCTCTGTGCTCCGTGCGCTCTGGGTCCTGCAATTCCTGCTTCCTTACGTAGTAAACAATAAGTAAAGTCTGCTGCGTAATGTGCTTACGCTGGCTGGCATTGGCAGTGCACTGCATCCCCATTAAGTAATGGTTGATTAATAAATCCCATTTTATGTTTCATAGAAATGTTCGCTGCATACATGCGCCTGTGGATCTTTCGGTTCGGGCCGAGCACATTTCGCTAGTCACTGCCTCCGAACGTACTTCCTACGCTTACCCGTTGGCAATAGATGGAACCGAGCATTCGGTGGATTGTTCCTATCCGAATTGTCGCAATGTTTCGCGATACAATGAGGCATATTTCAATAGAATTGTGAGAGTAACTAGAGTAAACAACATGAACAAAGCACATACGTCAATTTGTCCTCGACACCAAACGCATAGTTCACGTCACTTCCGGTAAAATAAGTCATATGACTCGTCAAAATGGCGCCGCCCACAGGATTGATGTTATTTCGGTGGTCTGTTTTAAAATGGTCTGTTTTATCGGATGATAATTATTTAAAAATGCGTGTCATGAGGATTGCCTCCCTTTAAAGATAGCTGTGTGGCGTTACCTAAACCCTCCTGTTCTCTGGATGACAGCTTGCGCCTCGACATATTCCGTTAAGGTATTTCATGTTCGGGGTCATAACCTTGCTTCGTGGAAGTGACAATTGTTGTCGTCTTATGTGAACGTTTTTTTCGCTGTTCTTTTGCCATTTTGAGATTTACATTTCCAGCGAAAGCTAAACCAGGAAGTGTTTTAGAACACCACGTGACGCATCTGAACGAATCACGTTGTCACAAATTGACACCAGTCAATGAGATTTCGTTTTTTGGTTTAAGACCCCTTTGTACACGATTGGTTGCTGATACAAAGGAAATTATCATATTTGGATCCAATGACATTGTGCAGGAGGGACGGAGCTTTCCAACGATACCTCTGATTACATGGTGCAAACAGCGGTCGCGTTACTTTATGTTACGTTAGAATGCTAACTTTTGGTGAATTTAGGAGAAATCTACAGACTTCATTGGAGTGATTCTTTAACAGTTATTTAATAACATTAGTTGAAAATTATGGCTCAATTACTTTTGTTTTTGTTCCAGAAGGCATGTTGCAAACTATTGTAAAAAAATGTGCTTAATGAATGTCTCTCTCTCTCTGTATGTCTGTGGCTTTAGAACCAGAGAGGACTCAGACTTCACAGCTGTGGCCTGTGTGACAAATCCTTCAAGACCTCTGTAAAATTAAAGGTTCATCACAGAGTTCATACTGGAGAGAACCCGTACAGCTGTGACCTGTGTGACAAATCCTTCAACGTATCTGGGAACTTAAAGGTTCATCAGAGAGTTCACACAGGAGAGAAACCCCACAACTGTGACCTGTGTGGGAAAACGTTTTCTCAGACTGGTTCACTTAAAGTCCACCAACGCATCCATACTGGAGTTCATACTGGAGAGAAACCTTACAGCTGTGACCTGTGTGGGAAAACATTCAATACTGTATTTGAACTGAAGTCCCATTATCTTATTCACACTAGAGAGAAACCACACAGCTGTGAGCTGTGTGACAAATCCTTCAAATCCTCTTGGAACTTAAAGCGTCATCAGAAAGTTCACACAGGAGAGAAACCCCACAACTGTGACCTGTGTGGGAAAACGTTTGCTCAGACTGGTGAACTTAAAGTCCACCACCGCATCCATACTGAAGAGAAACCGTACAGCTGTGACCTGTGTGACAAATCCTTCAAGACCTCTGGACAATTAACGGTTCATCACAGAATTCATACTGAAGAGAAACCGTACAGTTGTGACCTGTGTGACAAATCCTTCAAGGCCTCTGGACAACTAACTGTTCATCAGAGAGGTCACACTGGAGAGAAACCTTACAGCTGTGACCTGTGTGGGAAAACGTTCACTAAATCAGGTAATCTCACAACCCATCGTCGTATTCACACGGGAGAAAAACCATACTGGTGTGAAGAGTGTGGGAAAATGTTCCGTTCATCAAGTAAACTCACAATCCATCATCGTATTCACACGAGACAAACCATACAGCTGTGAACAATGTGGAAAAACTTGCAATACATCAGGTCAACTCACAAGCTGTGACGAGTGTGGGAAAATGTTTTCTTGTCTTGACCTTAAAATCCACCAGCGCATCCACACTGGAGAGAAACCGTACATCTGTACAAACCTCCTTTGTGCCATGCCGATCATCGTGTTTTACTTTTTTGTCGATTATAGTCTAAATAGGCCTACAAACATTACAGTTTTTTGCTGCTGAAGTGCTCAGGAGCAACAGCCTTTTTTCCATGAAATTATAGTGGTCTAGATTAGGCAGTAAAGACAATTTCGGTTTTTCGCCGAGCTGACTTTTTGTTGTGTTTTGTTTGGCTGGAAAACTGTCAATATAATTGAATAACGTATAAAACCTGTGTTTGTTTATTTTGTGAATGTGTGGATGTTTATCAGTTCTGTTTTGCTTTTATAATATTATTTCTTATCAAGAAATATTTATTGGAAGACTGAGTAGGGCAGTAGAGGATTTCTCCAACGTAATCAGGATGTGTGATGTAAGTCACTATATTACTATATATTAGAAATTCACTTTTCTCTCGCTTAATTTGAGGTTTTGCCATAGCCAATATAATGCTATTACTATTGTTGATTTAGGAATTGCAATAATGGCTGAAAAGGTGATGACCTTGCAATTTGTGGTGTATTTCAAGTTTGGAACAGTCAATTAAGGACATGAAGGCCCTCTGCTTGACTAATTTCCTCTGGAAGATCATCCTACATGACCTCCGAGATGTGCCCACAGGCTTCACCATGTTAATGGGGGCAATCTACTGCCTCAACCTCGAGTACCCCCGCACTCAGAAATAAACTGCTGAGATATCACCTCTAAACGAATGACTGTGTCATAGCTCCTGGAAGAAGGGAGTTTCTGTTTTGCACTGTTGTTGTACACATTGTTCTTGTTTTCAGCAGTGTATTGTGTACCACGAGGTCAGATATGAACCCAGCTGCTGAGATTGTTAACACATGAATGCACATTTCAACAGGGTTCGTACGGGTGCTTGAAATCCTTGAAAATGCTTGAAATTTGACGTGGTGTTTTCAAGGTTGGGAAAGTGCTTGAATTTTGGGAATGGTGCTTGAAATTGAGATAAAGTGCTTGAAAATGTAAATGCTTTACTTTTACAATAAATTGCTGTTTGACTGAATAGTTCGCTTTTTAGATGAAAATAAAAGAATTGCTTCGCTTCTACATAAAACAGCTCCGCTGCGGCCTTCCTGCGCTATGCGCGCGACCTGCAAGTGTTTGTGTTACGTGTGACCTGGGCATTCTGATGAGAGATAGATGACTGTGTGCCAGGAGGTTGCCGTTTCAACGAGCGTTGGCTAGCAGAAGACAAATACAAGCCATGGCTAAGACGAGGGTCAAGCCCACGAGTAGCCTCCTGCAAAGTTTGCAAAAATAACGATGCGAGAGTCTGCGCTGACGAGCCACATGAAAGGTACGCCGTAGTAGAGCGTTTTAGATTAGGCTAACGTTGCATGTTACGTTTGTTTAAGCTAACGTTAGCTAGCTTAATAGCGAACTCGATTGAGAGATAATATTAATTGCAGGGGACAATCATTTCAGAGGAGCGTACCTATGTTATGTGCGTTACAGTCGCCATCCTGTGGTGTTCAGAGGATGAAGCACTCACGGCATTTCGTGTTATAGTCACGAAATATAATCTATTGATTCGACACAGAGCGATTTTGAAAGCAATGTATTTCTACTGGTAGTATGTTTCGTGCCTAAACCAAATGTGACTTGCTCTATCGAAATCAGTCACATTGACCCGAAGACACATTTTCGTTTGTATTACTGGTCTGGGGGAAGCTCGCCAGTGTGTTTGTGTATTTTTGCGTTTGTGTACCGGGGAAACACTCACAAGAAACACCAGCTGTTGTTATGCTTGCTGTGACGTTAAGTTACTCAGTTCTCCGCTTGTAATTATGCCGAAGCTTCAAAGTTGTATTTATCATCTGAATTTGCCGAAACAAGTTTAATATTCTGAAAGCCAAGAATTGTTTATTTGAAAACAGATGAAAACAAACTGTCTTTATATAAAATTGAAGTATTATACAAGTAAAACTACATGTTGCTTTAATCCCATGTAATTGTAGAATGAACACAGTCTTCCTTTGAAGATGTATAAGTCAGGTGTCTTGAGTAGTCAAAATTGCCTACAAATCATTGTACACATTTGTAAATATTATTTTCCACTTGTTACCATTGTGAGTCTATTTCTATGCAGCTCTGCGTGATTTTGTAGCTACAATTCAGACTAATACGCTACCAGAGGTGGAATAAGTACTCAGGTATTGTACTTGAGTAAAAGTATAAGTACTCAGATCTTGTAGTGAAATTATAAGTACTCAGATCTTGTACTTAGCAAAAGTAGAAGTACCAGAGTGTAGGAATACTCTGTCACAGTAAAAGTCCTGCATTCAAAATATTCCTCAAGTGAAAGTAGAAAAGTATTCTCATCCAAATATAGTTAAAGTAGCGACAGTAAAAGTAGTCATTGTGCAGATTGGTCCATTTCATAATATATGATATGTTTTATAATGATTGATCATGAAAGTGTTCTCAAAGCTGGTAAAGGTGCAGCTAGTTTGAATGACTTTGTATACTGCAGGGTAGCTTGTGGATTTACTCCAGGTGGAACTAAAGTCTGATTTAACACTTGATTAGATTTCACATCATTCATCCACATCTGTAAAGTAACTAAAGGTATTAAATACATGTAGTGGAGTAGAAGTACACCATGTACCTCTGAACTGTAGAGGAGTAGAAGTACACCATGTACCTCTGAACTGTAGTGGAGTAGAAGTACACCATGTACCTCTGAACTGTTGTGGAGTAGAAGTACACCATGTACCTCTGAACTGTAGTGGAGTAGAAGTACACCATGTACCTCTGAACTGTTGTGGAGTAGAAGTACACCATGTACCTCTGAACTGTAGTGGAGTAGAAGTACACCATGTACCTCTGACTTGACTTGACTGCCAACCTAAAAGTACCTCAAAAATAGTAATCAATAATGTATTGAAAAGTTATTTAGCTGATTGTTTTATATTGGCTCAGACAGGTTATATGGGACATACAGATGGGTCACTCATTTTGAAATATTAAACTTAGTTTTCTTTTCTTTAATTTGTCATCCTTGTGTAGAAGGCTATCACGAAACACACATTTGGTTGTTTATAGCATAAAGAACATCTGATTTAATGTGAGGTAGGGAAATAATCATTTGAGTATGTGTATATAAATATGTAATTTACAACAGCTGTAAGATGCTTGAAAAGCTGGAAAATGCACCTTGAAAATGCTTGAAAAGTGCTTGAATTTGACTTTGGAAAAGGTGTAAGAACCCTGTTTCAAGCCCTTATTGAGAGGAAACATTTTTTGGGGTCTCCTACATTGTTCCTAACAAACATAGTTTATGTATCCAGCAATATAGTTTGTACAACGCAGGTCATAGGTCAGCAGGCCAAAAAAGAAAAGAGGACAAAGAGGTGGTAAACCCTTAAGTTATTTAAATGTAGAACTTGAAAGTGTGAGTTATAATAAGACTGAAATGTGAGTTTATTTTAAATAAGGTTTCCTTGCTCTAATAATGTAAGATTAGTATTTCTTTCAACTCTCAGTATACATTTAAATCAACTTAGACAACTTAAAAAACAATGTTAATACAACTAGAACCTTTAAGTCATATCAACAAGATTTACTTGCATTATTTAATTGAAGATTGTCTTCAAGTTGACTTGATTAGCTTTTTCAAGTGTATACATTGTGGGTGTATACTGTGATTTCTTGATGCATTAAAATGTGAAACAAGGTGGCATGACTACTTTTTTGTTGGTGCTGTTAGTGTGGGGAATGTGGTTATGTATTATAAAAGTAGATTATTACTAACAACAATTATACATTTTATGCATTATTAAATTAATGCACCAAATAAGCTACATTTATTTTGTATATAAACCTGGTTCTTGTGAATTTAAAATGCATAGGCTTTATTTATATCGAATACGTAAGCCTGGTTCTCGCATTTGAAACTCATTGGATGTATTGATAATAAGGTCGTTGACATAGTTATGTATTTGCAATGCATAGAGTTTATCAGTCAATTTATGTAAGAACTATGTAATCCAAATGGATGGTAATTTGATATGCAATTTAAAAAAAAAACATAAATCTATATTAGGGCCAAATGTTTGTGTGTACTTTTACAACTTACTTTCTTAGATTGTTGTTTATGTTCAACACCAAATCAAATTCCTTCCCATGTGTAAACGAACCAGGCAATACTCTTCTGAAATATGTGAAATAATACTAAATTAGAAGTAGAAGAGCTGTGGAAATATGGGAAACATGTGAAGACACAAAAAAACAATAACAAGAGGATTAAACTGTGAATTTATCCTTATTTTGTCTTTTTATTTAGTGTTATTTAATGTAATTTATTTTTGTTCTCCTTAGTTTTTTTTGTCTTGTTTTGTTTCTTTGAAAGCAGTAATGTTGTGTCCTTGTTTCTTTTTATAGTATATTTTAAGTCTCTTTGCAGTTGTTATGCATTTATGCATCACTTTATATTCATTCTGTGTCTTTTTTGTCATTTTGTTGTCATTTAAAGGGGACCTATCATGCAAAATGCACTCTTGTAGGTATTTTATACATGAATATGTGTCCCCGGTGTGTCAGGGAACTCACCACTTGTGTCAGAAAATACAACCCTCTCTCTTTTCCTCTATACCCAAATCTCTAAAAAAGGGGCTGTAACGGATCTGATACAGACTAGATCGGCATGAAGGTGTTATTTTCCCCATAATGACCAAGTCACTGCACATTATCCTGCTTATTACATGGCCACATTCTCAACAAAGTAACGATATGACTCCCAATATTAATTGAAATGCTTTTATCGATTTAGAAAATTATTTTATTGATTTAAATTGACATGAATCCGCTAAGAAAAATAGTCCGTTGTTACTGTTTGAACTAACGTAGCAACGGCAGGAACTGCTTCGATAGCGTTTTTGAGGAGCTTTTTGATTACAGATTTGAAAACATCGTTGCTTGCTTTAAAAGTAGCACAATTTATTATGTCAAACCTTGGGAAGTATCTAGATATCCCTGCCCTAATGCCAAAGTAACTGGCAACTGAATATGTGTCGCCGTTTGATGTCTATGTCTGGACTGCTGTGTAAAAAGGAGGGTTTCTGCCCCATTACTTCTCTTCTTACTTCTATAAGAATAAAACATGGAGGACGGAGATCTCTTTTTCTCCCCCTCTTCTGACAGCCCAGCAGCTGATCTCAGAGCACGCTCCCCTCTCCTGCAGGGGGGCGTGGTCAGCTGCAGCTCACAGAATCAGCCCCCTGCAAAAACAGGCTGGAAAGAGCAAATAGAGCGAAATTAGGCATGGCTCAAATGCAGGGTATGTTTGGTATTTTGAAGAAAAAAAAAATATTTATATTCTTTATACAGGTATGGCCCTACAATATATTGTTCAAATATAGCATGATAGGTGTCCTTTAAGTACTGTAGCTATACTGCTCCACTCCCATTCAGGCAAATAGTGTACTTTATACTGAGCTACATTTATTTGATAACTTTAGTAACTTTGAAGATTCAGAACACAAGAAATATAATCAAGAAATATTTTATCATGTATTATTATAGGTTAAGATACACATTTTATTGACCCTATGGTGAATTTCAAAAGCTACCAGCAGTATATAATGTAATTTAAATCAGCTCCTCCACTTCAGCTCTCTGAAGCAGAAATAAACAATTTAAAGCATTGTAGCTGGCAACCGTAAAGTACTGCTGCTACCACATTCCATGTATCAGTAATTATATTAATATACAACATCATAACACTGACAGGCAAATTATGTAGCATCATGTACATCTGTATCTTCTGACTTGTATTGTAGTATAGCAAATTGTATCCTCATTCTAATGTTGTGTTATCTAATAGTATGAAGGTACGAAATAAATCGTTTGTTTACGTCCCTCACTTCCGTTTCACTTCTCATGCACTGATTCGCTAGCTGAACAGCCAATCAGAGTGATTTATTTGACCGACAGCCTTTGGCCGATTGCCT